TCTACGTAGGACAGATAGGCAGCAGTGGGAGCCATTGGCTCCCACTGCTGTCAATCAGAGCAGGAGAGTATAGCATGTTGTTATTAGAAAAAAAGAAACCCCAAGGCTTTAGAATCACTTTAACCACTTGTCACATGGGCCAGTTCTGACATTTCTCACATACATGTTAAAATATGCATTTTTTTTGCTAGAAAATTACTTAGAACCCCCACATATATTTTTATATTTCTTTTTAAATCAGAGGCTCTGGAGAATAAAATAATGGTTGGTGCAATTTCTTATGTTGCATTATATGTGCGCAGCCATTTTTAAAGTGCACATTTTCAGGAAAAAACACACTTTAATGAATTTTAGCTGATTGTGAACCGCTTCCTCCACACTGGAACACAGGACCAAGGTATTATAGCTGGGCATTACACCCAAGACTAGATGAGACTAGTTTAGATGCCAAACTAGAACTCTTTATTGAACAGAAAACACAGGTTTTTATACACTCCAGAAATAGGGCCGATCCCCACATGAACAATAAAACAAATATTACACTGTGGGATAAACATCCCACATTGATTAGGTAAGAGCTTGATCACAACAGTACAGCCAACAGCTAACAGTGATCTAATTAACAGTAAGCTAATAAACAGCCAGGCACTCAGATAATGCTTTGATTAATCAGGGAGCCCACCTCAGACAGCCCTGCAACAAAAACACCCCTGAATACACAAAGTCGATTACACATGCTATCTTTCAGGTGTTTGCTTTCACTTGTATAATCTGTCCATCATGAGACAAAACTCATACAATATTTCAACAGTCTGAAAAGTGGAATTAGTTTATCTTCATAGATTTTTTGAGGGAGATTGTTGATAAATATTTTTGTCCCAAATAGAGGAGCTTCTCCAACTCATTCTGCATGAGGGCCACCATATTTCATCTGACCATTAACCTGTACAAGATTAATACCACATCCCTCCATCCACTCCAGAAGGGAAGACTCATTGTCTCCATGCAGAGAATCAATCTAAGCATCGCTCTTAGCGTTCATCATGTTGTTGTCCATCATTAGAGACTGATCTGCTCTTTGCATGGGCTATAAACAGTGGGCAGAAGGCTAGCCCATAGACCCCTCCAAAAGCCCCTGTCCCGGTTGGGTCTGTTACAAAGTGCCATTAGAGCCTGCTACATGGACTACTGCCATTCCCAGTTCAACTAGGAGTGGAGAGTGCAGACAAAATCCCCCCCCCCCCCCCAAGTGCACAGATGCTTCTTCATTGCCCAACCAGTAGACGGGGGTGAAGATGGTAAAAAGCAAGAGAAACTTTTTTCACGCCATTACCCATAAGATGGGGAATCCATAACTTTGACACGGTAACTAAATCCAGTTGGGTATCAGCTTGCAGCAGATTTGCATACTCGAAGCAATAGAAGATGGATTTTACTAGGATACTGTTACAAGTTACCACAATTCCAACAATGACCTAAGCCTTCATGAATACGCATCATATAGCTGAAGCCCCCTTCCCCTAAGGTGCTCTGTTGCATTGGATGCATGCTTAAATGTGGGATCCCCCTGGTGGCCAAGATTGACACTGCTGGATATTGCTATACCTGATCTGCCTGATGTGGTGATATTGGAGAGAGGTAACCTGTCCTGGATGGATGACACCTGGTGGCTAATCCCTGCCTGACGACTTCATCCCTATACAGAGTTCCCAAATCCTGAGCACCGTGGAGTAGGTCTTATTTACTCCAACGCACAATCATTTGTGCTATCTGGTTAGTGCAATGTACATTCATTTTCCATAAGCCACGACAGCCACGAAAGTCACTATCTTCATGATTTATTCATCACCACTGTCATGTTGCACCGTATGGGTTTTACTAAGGACATTCTCCTGATGCTAGACTTATATAACATTAATTTATGTAACATTAATTTATGTGACATTAATTTATGTGACATTTCTCAGCGCTGCATCCTATGTTTGTCTATTGGGTCTGTCACATTTGTCACAATGATGTTATGCCAAGTAAATAGATACCTAGCCTCGGACACTAGTCAATATTTCCAGCTAAACCTGGCCCTGCTATTAGATAAGCAGAGGGCGAAAAGCTGCACCTGGTGTAAACTCCCATTATCAGTGGTGGTAGGATTAATTTAATAAAAATGATCTGGACTCTGCAGCTACTCTATATCTTTCATAATTCCCCCATATGGATCCCCCAGAAATGTTTTTCACATATAGACTCCCAATTTCGAGATTTAATTTGGAAAAAGTAGCAACCTAGAATAAAATTATCAAACTTACAGTATGATATTTTTTGGCTGCCAAATTTCAACATCTATCAAGTTGGAGATTGCTGGGTAATAAGGATCCAATAGTTTGTTCACTCATTAACTCCAACCCTGACCTACCAGCAATTTTGCAGCTAGAAATGGCCCTACCCGCTCTCCCACCCTCATCTTCTACGGGAGACCTAATGACCAAAGTTTGGAATACTGTAAAATCGCTATTAAACATCTCAGGCTTCCCTATGGCACAACTTAGTGTACCTAGAATTACTTAAACTACAGGGATTTCTGAAATCGAATTGCTATTCATAGCCCAATTATATCATAATGATATTTTGAAACCTTTTGATCAATTAAAATCCGAGTTCTCACTGACTAATGTACAATTCTACCAATATTTGCAACTTCAAATGCAGAAACACTCTCAATCGCTGCATAGACTTGACTCCCCATTAGTTACTGAAATTATTTCTGCAAAAGATAAGAAAGGGTTGATTTCTCAGATATATACATGGCTCCTCTCCTCTGTTCAATACCCGACTACCCATAGGAGTAGGTTGGCATGGACCTCAGATATAGGAGAGATTATTGGGGAACAGTGGGAGATGACTCTGGAATCAATTCATTCCAACTCCCTGTCTGCCTGCCACAAACTATCCTAGCTCTTCATCTTGCATAGAGTCTACAGAATACCAACTCAGTTATTCGCTTGGGGTAAGAGAGACACACCCTTATGTCCTAAATGTGGCGCACATAGAGGCACTTAAATTCATATGATCCCCCCCATACATTATGATCTTTAGCATACCTTTTACACTGTAGTAGTCCCCTTTACATCACAGTCCCCTCTTTAAAAAAGTCCCACAGTGTCCTCTTTTCCCTTCTCATCACTGCCCCCCTTAACATCACAGTGCCCCTTAAAAAATACAACATCTCCTACAACAACACAGCACCCCTAACACAGCACAGCACCTTTTAACATAACACAACACAGCACCTTTTAATATAACACAGCACCCTTTAACATAACACAACTCCCCTAACACAACACAGTGCTCCTAACAACACAGAAAATATAAAGCAAAGATGGGATGTCTCTTTGCTGGACAGGGATGTCTCTTTGTTGGATGAGGATGTCCCTTCTTGGACTGGGCTGTCTTTTTGCTGGTTTGGGATGTCTCTTTGCTGGGCCCAACTGGCCAAAGAGACATCGCCGTCCAGCAAAGAGACAACTCATCCAGCAAAGAGACAGCCCATCCAGCAAAGAGACAACCTGCCCAGCAAAGAGACAGCTCATCCAGCAAAGAGACAGCCCATCCAGCAAAGAGGCAGCTCATCCAGCAAAGGGATAGCCTGTCCAGCAAGGAGACAGCCCGTCCAGCAGAGACAGCCCATCCAGCAAAGAAACAGGCCATCCAGCAAAGAGACAGCTCATCCAGCAAAGAGATAGCCTGTCCAGCAAAGAGACAGTCCCATCCAGCAAAGAGACAGCCCATCCAGCAAAGAGACAGCCCCATCCAGCAAAGAGAAAGCCCATCCAGCAAAGAGACAGCCGTCCAGCAAAGAGACAGCTCATCCAGCAAAGAGACAGTCCCATCCAGCAAAGAGACAGCCCATCCAGCAAAGAGACAGCCCCTCCCGCAAAGAAACATCCTGTTCAGCAAAGAGACAGCCCGTCCAGCAGAGATAGCCCCATCCACCGCCACTACAGAGCTGTCACAGTGTGCCGGCGAGTGAAGAAGAGAGGCCACCTTTGTCCCTTCGGTGCAGCAGCCAGCCGAGGAGGTGTCCCTGTGTCAGCGGTGCTTCCTGCTTGTCATCTGGAGCCGTTACTGCCGCTCCTCCTGTCAGGCCCTGCTTTAGGCATTGCTGCACAGCAGGAGGTCAGCGGCAGCTGCAGCCTGTTTATAGTCCTGTCCAGACCGCGGTTGCCGCTTACCTTCCGCTGTGCGGCCCGGTCATCTTAAGCCCGGCCCAAGGGGCAAATGCATGGTGTTCCCTATGGCAAGTCTGGGCCAGGGCCCGACAGAGGGCACCCGGCGGTGGCGGTGGTGTGGCTGCAGTCCAGATGGGACTGTCCCTTGGTCTGGTTCCAGACTGCTGTCCGCCATATACTGACCACTGCTCTAGATGCTGTGATGCATGTTTTTTTTTTTTAAATGATGCTTGTCTTTCACAATACTAGTTTTTTTTTTTTTTGAATACCTACATTTGTCCAGATTGGAGCAATGTAAGCAGGCATATGCTATACCTGTGCGATCCCTTTGGAAGTGGGGAATTACTGTAGTACTCACTGCTACTACTGTGATTACTGTGTATTCTGGGTCCCATGCTGAGGGGTTGCCCTGCTGCATAATGAACACTTTTTTTATTGAACGCAAGGCATTCTTTTACTGAATGAGGCGAAGAGGAGGGGTACTCATGTCACAATCACCCACCTCATACTGGTGACAATGGATGAGCCTGCAGTTTAGTTCAAATCTAGGTCCGGACCAAACTAGAGTTGTTTGGGCATTCAAATGAATGACTGAGCGTTTGCCCCTCTGGCCCCCTGTTCTCCAGGATCCAAGCATCATATATAGAAATTATATTTCTACTTCTTATATATACACTATATTGCCAAAAGTATTGGGACACCCCCCGAAATCAGTGGAGTCAGGTGTTCCAATCAACTCCTTGGCCACAGGTGTATAAAATCGAACACCTAGGCATGCAGACTGCTTCTACAAACATTTGTGAAAGAATAGGTCGCTCTAAGGAGCTCTGTGAATTCAAGCGTGGTACTGTGATAGGTTGCCACCTGTGCAATAAGTCCATCTGTGAAATTTCCTTGCTACTAAATATTCCACGGTCAACTGTTAGTGGCATTATAACAAAATGGAAGCAACTGGGAACTACAGCAACTCTGCCACAAAGTGGTAGGCCAAATAAAATGACAGAGTGAGGTCAGCGCATGTGAAGCGCACAGTGTGCAGAAGTCGACAACTGTCTGAAGAGTCAATAGCTAAAGGCCTCCAAACCTTGGGTGGCCTTCAGATTATCACAACAACAGTGCATAGAGAGCTTCATGGAATGGCTTTCCATGGCCAAGCAGCTTCATGCAAGCCTTACATCATCAAGTGCAATGTAAAGCGTTGGATGCAGTGGTGTAAAGCACGCCACCACTGGACTCTAGAGCAGGGGAGATGTGTTCTCTGGAGTGACGAATCAAGCTTCTCTGTCTGGGAATCCAATGTATGTATCTATGTTTGTCAGTTGCCAGGAGAACGGTACTTGCCTGACTACCTTGTGCCAAGTGTAAAGTTTGGTGGAAGGGGATTATGGTGTGGGGTTGTTTTTTTCAGGGGTTGGGCTTGGCCCCTTAGTTCCCCCTAAGGTGTCAGCATACTAAGACATTTTGGACAATTTCATGCTCCCAACTTTGTGGGAACAGTTAGGAGATGGCCCCTTCCTTTTCCAACATGACTGTGCACCAGTGCACAAAGCAAGGTCCACAAAGACATAAATGAGTGAGTTTGGAGTGGAGGAACTTGACTGGCCTGCACAGAGTCCTGACCTCAACCCGATAGAACACCTTTGGGATGAATTATAGCGGAGACTGCGAGCCAGGCCTTCTCATCCGACATCAGTGCCTGACCTCACAAATGCGCTTCTGGAAGAATGGTCAAACATTCCCATAGACACACTCCTTAACCTTGTGGACAGCCTTACTGGAAGAGTTGAAGTTGTTATAGCTGCAAAGGGTGAGCCAACTCAATATTGAACCCTACGGATTAAGACTGGGATGCCATTAAAGTTCATGTGTGTGTAAAGGCAGTTGTCCAAATACTTTTGGCAATATAGTATACATGTCATTGGATTCTAAAGAAGCAGTGGGTGCCTGCACCCACCAAATCCTTGGGAACTGTTGACATCACAGCACATTTCTCTGCAGGGTTGGGATTCCCTGGCCATGTCAGCAAAGAAGAGGGGATGACAGTGACATCACTGCCCACATTTGGGCAATGCTGTCACCACTTTTTCCTCCCCTTCCCTTATATAGTAACTGATAACAGCTTGGGGAGCTGTAATTCGACTAGTAGTATAATCGGGATCAACTGTGTTTGCTGTTTTTTTTTCAGTGAGTTGGCGGGCAGTGGGTATCATAATTGACAATAGATTTATAATAAGGGACTTTTTTTTAAATAAAAGACTTGTTAAACATTTAAGTGTATTTATTTCTAGGTTACACTTTTTTGTAAATTAGTAGGGCTACTATGTAACTCATACTCATTCACTTGGGGGGGGGCAGTATCTGGGAGCCCCCCTAATATTAAGGGCATTTCTGGCTTCCAACAAGTCCCACTCCTGCAATACCCCACAAACTACTGGCTAGGGTTGTAGTGAAGAGGCCCTTGTCCTCATTGCTATGCCCCATTTGCCAGGCGGGCACCTCCTATGATGAGGGTATGTGGCCTAATATTGTTCAAGAGTGGGGGAACGCCAGGCTGCTCTCGGATTAAGGGTCTGATCTACATTTTTTTGTGTTTTTTGTCCCCTTACAATCCATACCAGACACGAATATAAACCTCCCACTTTTTTTTACAGTTTAAACTGCCGGCAAAAAACATTTAATTGAAAGCTTCTTTTCTAAGAAAACAGCATGAGAACCCTCCAAAGGTCCCCTAAAATACATAGCAGACACTTGGAAGGGTCTGCGTCCTGGTTTTTTTAAAGCTGGCAATGAAACACAACTTGCTGGCAGTTTTAGATTTAGTGTTCTGCCCTGTGTTCTGGGGTGTTTCTTTCTTATTTGGGTGTCTGTTTATTAACCCCTAGGTAGCATGCTGGGGCTGTGCTACCATTTTTTCTGTAAAGAAATCTGGGCTGCAGTTTCATAGCCCCAAATGACAGAAAATAACATTCTTAAAGTCCTGCCATGTAAGCTAACATCTCTTCCTAACTCTAATCATGGCTGAGGGGAAAGGCATATCCAGAGGATATTTTCAAGACCTGATCAAGAAGGTTTAATTACTGAAGACACACCATAGATAACACATGGCAAATTTTGAATCTTCAATTAATTATGATACCCAATTTAGGACATCTCCTTCATTCCTAACTCTGGATGCAGAGAAGGCAGTGGCACTTAAACTTCACACTTAACACTTGGCTTCACTAATTAGTTCCTTAATGTGGTTAATAGCATTATACACACTGCCTTTCAGCTTCAGTAAGCAATGTATGCTTTCACTCCAAAACTATTCCAGTAAGAAATAGCACAACATAAGTAAGGCAATCAGCAATATTCAGTGTTTAAAAAAAATTAGAGACCATGAATACAAATTCACCTTATTTTCAGAAGGCACCATGGGTCTGATTCATAAAGCTATGCAAACACAAACAGTATGCTGTGATAGCACTTAGTTATCATGGAAGAGGGTAGAACGTTTGGAGTTTAAAGTGGAGCTTTACCCATAACAACTTTATAATAAAATAATGTTATTTAGCAAGGAACATACATTCCACATTAATCATTATGCTACCAAAATGAGTGTGTGCTGTAAATTGCCTCCAGCATTGTTCCTGTTTCTTCTTGCTGGAGGTTGCACTTTTGCTGAAGCCCAGAGCCCCTGAGCAGCATTAAATCTTTAGACTGTCAGCAGATCAGCCTCTAGTTTTCAGAATCAGGCTCTGATTTTCGGCACACTCACAAAAAATAAACAGCAATTGAGCATGTGCACAGCTAATGGTTAGTATTTTTGATTTACATCTGATTTAAGATGTTCTTACTAGGTGAAAAAGCAAAATGTAAGTTTTATTTTTTTTTTTTTTTTTTTTTTTTTATTTAAATATTTATTAGTATTTGCACAGAAATAACAATAAAAAAAAATAACGAAAAGACATTTTTCAACTCTATCCTCATAATATACAATTATTATTTCGTTATTTTTCAATAACCCCCCCTCTTAAAACCTTGACCACCTCCCCCCCCCCCCCGCTCTGCATTCCCTTGTCTTGTATCCAAAGCAAGCGTATCCTACTAGTTTGTTCTCTATGACGTTCTATTTTTCAATTTCTCCTACTTGTTACAAAATTTTTCCCATTTTCCTCCCATCTCGCGAGATGTATCTCCATCTTATCTTCCTGTATATAAAATATCCTCTCCATCTCCCTAGTCCATGTTTACTCTCTCTATCCATTCCTCCTCTTTCGGTATTTCTCTTTTTCTTTTCCAATATTTGGGGATCAGGCTTTTTGCTGCGTTCAAATAGTACCCTAAACCTAATTTCTTATATTTACTAATTGGTATTTCTGAACTATGTAACAGGCATATCCCAGGGTCTAACCCGATATTCATTTCAATGATGTTCTCTATTAAATATATTATTTTTTTCCAGAATATTTGAATCTTTGGACATTCCCACCAAATATGATAAACTGTCCCCACTATCCCCACACTCTCGCCAACACCACTGTGATTTCTCCGCACTTATCTTTCCCTCCACACTCGGAACAATGTGCCATCTTGTCAGACATTTATAATTTATTCCACAATCCCTCAAACTTACATTTCCGTGAACTAATCTATTTATATTTTCTTCTGTTTTCCTTCATCTAGTACCACCCCCATGTCTCTTACCCAATTCACTATGTGCAGTGGTTTAATATGTGTGCCTAAATCTGTGAGGATTCCTATATACTTTGGCTATTCCATGTTTCCCATCACCCCGTGTGTCCAGCAACCTTTCAAACAAATTCCAATCCTCTTTCATTTCCAGGGGTTTTTTTAGATTTCCCCAAAAACGTTTTAATTGATAGTATCGCCACTTCATCCAGCCTAGTGAAAATATTTCCCTTTTCCTTTTCCACTTTTCCAGCTCTTTAAAGGTCTTCAATTTCCCATCCCCCATTATATCTCTGAGTTGGACGTCCTCCTTTGTAAACCATCTACCTGCTATTTCTTCTCTACCTGGTGGAAAAAATTCTGTATTTCTTAGTGCATAAGTATAGAGTTAAATTCCCATCTCATATATTTGTGCATTTTATCCCATTCCCTTAATACATTTACAGTGTACAAACTTAAATCCTCCTTCAGTCCTCTATATTGTGTCGGTAACCATATTATAACTATTCAGTTTAGTTCCACTAAGTGTATTCTCAATTTTTACCCAGCTTTTCCCCTCTACATTGAACGTCCAATCAAAGATTCTTCCTAATATTACTGCTTTATAATATCTCTTTATATCTGGAACTCCCAGGCCACCCTGCTCTTTATCTCTACTTAATACCTCATGGGACACACCCTCGGTTTTTTCTTCCTCCAGATATATCCCGTTATCATTTTTTTTATCACTTTTAAAAAAAGCTTCCGGGAGTTTAATTGGTATCATTTGGAATCTGTATAAAATTTTTGGTACGATTATCATTTTTACCAAGTTTATACGTCCTAACCACGATGGGGGTTCCTCTCTCTAAACGCTTTTAATTCCCCTTTTACTTCATTCAATAGTGAAATATAGTTTAGCTTATACAAGTTTTTATACGACGTGCTGAGCCTTACACCCAAGTACTTTATATCACTTTCTTTCCAAATAAAGGGAAACTCTTCTTGTATTTTTTCCTGTTCACTTTTTTGGGGATATTTATGTTTAAGATCTCAGTTTTTGTTGGATTGATTTTTTAAATTTGATAATTCTCCATATTCCTTCAACAATTTCATTAGATTTGGGAGTGTGATCCTGGGGCTCCCCACATAAAACAGCAGATCATCAGCGAAAGCTGCCACTTTATGTTCTACACTTCCTATCTGAATTCCCTTTATGTCTCCCCTTTTTCCTTATTGTTGATAAAAGAGGCTCTAATGACAAAACATATAATAAGGGAGACAAAGGGCAGCCCTGCCTCGTTCCATTTGACATCCCAATGGGTTCTGTTTTTTTTCCCCATTTACTATTACCACTGCCGAGGGTTTACTATACAGTTTTCCCAATCCATTCCCTCATTCTACCTCCTATTCCTAGATCTTCTAAGGTATCCATCATGAAGCCCCAGTCTACTCTATCGAAGGCCTTTTCTGCATCAATTGAAAGGGCCACCGCTGGTACCTCCCCATTTTTACTTCTCTGAATCAGCATCAGGGATCTCAACCCATTGTCCCTGCCCTCTCTTCCTGGGACAAAGCCCACCTGATCT